CTTATCTAGTATTTCAGAAGAGTGGTCCGAAGAAATATACAGTAGAATTCATATGTACATTTAACTTATATGACCTCAAGTATGTGCACTCAACAAAACAAGTCCAAGATAAAAAGAAAGGGAGAAGCTCGTTCAAGTATATGTGTGTGTGCCCTAGCACAGTATAAGAATGAGAGACCAAGTCTGTGTTCCTTAATCAGTTTTAGGTCCAGTTTTTCTCCTCGTATGATCAGTTGGCAATCAAATACAATTCTAGTATTTAAAAAAAATTTTTTTTTTGTATACCATAGTCCATATATAAAACCACTTATTCTGTACTTGATGCTTAAAGAGAATTCAAAGACAGTTATAACGTGACTTAGGCTTTGACTCCCATGAAAGGCAATAGGACTCCCATTTCCTGTGCTTTTTAGTAATTCTTTTAAGTCCTGAGCATTGAACTCTGTTTATTGCAGAGCTGTAGTAGCACATAAAGTACTCTTAAAAGGGTATTTATAGTGTAGTCTGAGTTCAGATGAATGTAGCAGCAGTTGGCTAGTGTATTTTTTTCTTTACTTTTTGAGATTCGATGGAATGCGTTTTTAAATTGACCTTAATGATTTTGGTGTTTTCATTTTTTTAAATTAGAAATAAAGCTGTTCGACTTAAAAATGAGCTGGAGAATTTTACTAAGCAGTTTCTACATTCAAGCAATGAAGAAGAATCTTAACAATAGAAATCGCTTTGGTGATCATCATAGAAGAAAAATGCAACTTGGATGATTTGGGACAGTTATTTTTATGAAATGATTTTAAATATGAATTGTACTCACTATACCTAAGTAGCAAATTCTTGTGTAGATTCTGGTAATGATCTATCTCAGGGTGTTTGCATTTCTGAAGAGTGTTATTGTATCTCTTAATTTAATTCTGGGTAAAGAACAGGCTAAGTTGTTTGATGTGTTGAAGTGATGAATTAAGAACAGCAGAACCAATTATGTGACCCCTGAGGGGTGGGGCCTTACTCTTAATTAGGGCTCTCTTTGTTTTTGCTTCTGAAACACTCTTCTTCCTGGCATCCAGGAGTTAGAGAATGCTCTTTCTCAAAACTAATTTTTGATGTCACTTTAATGGGAATAGTCACTTTTGTTTTATACCTACGTTGTTTTAACCACCAAAAAGGAGTATGTAATGTTCTTGAGTGTATTATCTTGCAAGTTACAGTCATTTTTGCCTTTCTGGCAGGTATGTAAACCACTAATAAATAAGCTGTTGTTTACTCCTTATATTCCCATTAAAGCTAATGTAAAGCAGTATAAAGTTTGTTATTCTAAAAGTATCTGGGTCGAAATAGCTTCCTGATGTTTCTAGAGAAACATTTTCAGCTTCAGCTATGAGTACAGTAAGGGAAGCTAAGTTTTAGAAGTTTGAAGTGATAAAAACAGCCAGAGATGGGAGGTCTGAATTTTGAGTGGTTATAGTCATGTACAAATTCTGTTCTTCAGAAGGTATTTGTTGAGGATACTGATGAATTGTCCCCCTGTGGTGGTTTTCCTTTTATTGTATGAATTTGCCAGGGCATGGTTAAAAATTATCACTGTATTTTTTAGTTTAATGAAATGTTTATGGTTTCAAGTACTGTGTGTGTTTGTTAAAAACTAATTGAAACTTACATGGAAACATTTTAAAAATGACATTCTAGGGCTTTGTTATGCAGAAGGGAGCCCGGAGGACCACCAGATCAGCATCAATCCCCTGGCCTAGGTGCTTGTGAGAAAGCAAGGAGGACACTGTTTCTTCTCCATGGGAGGAATGACGTTCAGGCTCCTTTCTTCTCGTAATACTCAGTGCTTCCTTTTCTGTGCCTTTGAGGCTCCTGGATGCCATTCTCTCTTTTCACAGCTGGTGCAACAACACTGTTTTGCAGAATATTTTAAGGAGAATATTATTTAGGTCATAAGCCTTTCAAAAATATATTTTTATGCAGGTCAGATACTAGAATGCCAAATGTGCAATAAATATTAATTTGTAGCTTTTGTTTTTGCTTTTTAACCAAAATTGGTACAGGCCACCAACAAGTGTGGATCAGGTAACACCTGCAGCATGAAAACTTGATGTCTAAAGTTACAGGCTCTAGTTCTTAAATTTATACAAAGTACTTGAAATTTTGAAGCAGCATATTGGTTTGGTATAAACTCATTAGTATACTACTGTGGTTCTCAAAGTTTGGTCCTTGGATCAACAGTATCACTTGTCAACTTGTAAGAGTTATACATTCTTGAGCCATAGACCCAAGAATCGAACACTAGCTCTGGGGGTCAGCATTCTGTTAAAAGATGACATACAGGTCATCCTGATGCATGCTAACATTTGGGAAGTGCAGGAATTATGATTCTGGTATATAAGTTTGTAGTAAGTTTTCCATCACCAGTTTGAACGCATTCCAACTGATCAAGTTTGAAAATATGTGAATGTTGGAAATGGACACTAAAATAATAAGACCCAACCTTTATGCCTAGAGGTAAGTGCACCTATGACTCAGCCCATGAATTCTATGAAATCATGTAAGTTACACCTGATGTAATTCAGAGTTCTTGTTCACTATGTGTTTGCATATTAATTTATAAACTTTGTATAACCTCAAACTTTTTACAAAATTACATGCAAACTTGCAAGGTGAGAATAAAACTTTTGTCTGACAGTTGATAAATGTAGCATTTATACTGGCATTTAATGAGTCTTGCTCTTAATTTTATGGTAGATATATAAACTACCTTGGGCAGACTGTCGCATCTAATTCTAGCCCTGACAGGTTTGGCTCAGTGGATGGCACTTCACTATGGGTACAGTTCCAGTCAAGGACACTTCCGGTTTGCCTGCTTGATCCCCAGTAGGGGTCATGCTGAAGGCAGCCGATCAGTGATTCTCTTCTATCATTGATATTTCTGTCTTTCCCATTCCCTTTCTCTCTGAAATCAATAAAAATATATTTTTTAAAAACAAAAACCCTATAAGCAATGGAATTATTTATCCTAAGGGAGTTTCAGGGAAAGAAGGACTTAATTTTGCTTTTTAATGAAAATTTGCAGTCCTTTTAAGGGTAAGCTAATATAGTACTAATGTAGCACCACGATCTCTTGCTCTGGAAGCTCATTACAAATCCACTAGAGGCCTGGGGCATGAAATTCATGCCCGGGAGGAGGGGGAGGAGGAGTCCCTCAGCCTGACCTGCACCCTCTCCAACCCGGGACCCCTCAGGGAAAGACTGACTGCATCTTGCAATCCAGGACCACTGGCTCCTAACCACTCACCTGCCTGATTGCCCCTAACTGCTCCCCTTCTTGCCTTTATAACATTGGCTTGGAGTTTAGTTCTGGAACTTAATATTAAAATCTAAATTTGACTTAAAATATACCACATGAAATCTGGTTAAAGTACTTTATTGATTACAATATCAATTCACAGCCGACATTTCACAGAGCTACTGTACAAATAAAGGAATGAATCACTGTAAGAAAGACCCAAGAATACTGTTAAATCATGGAACAAATCCATCTTTTGTTTGGTTTAAAGCTCTTACAAGAACTTTAATCTAGTATGTTCACCTCTTCCATAGTTGTACTATTGACATTCCAAGTCAGTTGGCTACAAGTGTGTAAAAACCATTCTAAGTGAAAAAATTTTAATCAAACTTTAAAAACCCACTTAGAGGTGAATGCTTTTGGTAAGAATGTGCAAATGCAGTGTTCAGATGCTTCTTTGTCAAGGAAAAGAAGAAAAAAAAAGGATAGAGCACCATTGTGTGACAAGTCAAAGGCTGGCAATACGAAGTATATATCTCCAAGGTTCTTTAAGAAATATTGTATGATTTTTTTTTTCTTCTCTTTTTGGTCAGCCACATTGAACACAACCAGTTTTTTTCATAGTGCTGCATTATCTTATAGGGTAATTGGATTAAGAAAAAAATGACGAAATTTTATCAACATGCCAACAAATTTGCTAAATATAAGTTGTACCTCTAAAACGGTGCTAATACATTCAAATACAAACCATTTTCATGAGTACCTATGGTAACGAATATTTTTTAAAACCCTAAAATTAGGACAACTCAAAATGAACGAGGGTAAAACGGGTATAAAGTACTTTACATTCAACTTAATCAAATTTAGAATGCCATTTTTATTATTGTGCTACCTTTCCTCACAAGACAGACAGTTGAGCTTGTGGGTCTTAAAAATTCTAACAGGATAAGAGAAAGTTTAAAATTTTGCTTTCCACATGGCAAAAGGGGAACTAGAAGCTGAATATAGTAATTTTTTTAAAAAATTGTTTAGGCCTACACCCTAAAGACTAGAAAAATTGTAGAAAGGAAATTATTAAAATAAGCTTTTGGGAGGTTAATCAGTTTTCATATGTTTATATATAACAAATAAACCACGATTATTTTGTTAGGTTTTTTTGTTTTGTTTTTTGTTTTAAATATATTTTATTGATTTTTTTACAGAGAGGAAGAGAGAGGGATAGAAAGTTAGAAACATCGATGAAAGAGAATCATTGATTAGCTGCCTCTTGCACACCCCCCACTAGGGATGTGCCCACAACCAAGGTACATGCCCTTGACCAGAATGCAGGCCCATGCTCTATCCACTGAGCCAAACTGGTTTCGGCTATTTTGTTAGTTTTTTTTTTTTTTTTTAATATATTTTATTGATTTCAGAGAGGGAGAAACATCAATGATGAGAGAAAAATAGATCCTGCCTCTTGCATGTCCCCTACTGAGTGTTGAGCCCACAACCCAGGCATATGCCTCTGACCAGGAATTGAACTGTGACCTCCTGGTTCATAGGTCAATGTTCAATCACTGAACCTCGCTGGCGGGGCTTATGTGAGACATTCACTGTTCAAAGCATAAGCTTCCCTGAAGGTTTTCACTTTTAAAATTGTCAGTTGGTATTATTAAATCTAAGACCTCAAAAATGCTGGGTAAGGTCAATTGTATAATATTTCACAGCATTTTTTTTAAACAGTAATTGCATTTTCTCACCTGGAGAAGTCAACATCTATTAGGTTAACTTTTAAATTGTTTACCCCATACTCCAGAAGCACTTACATCCATTATGTTTAACAGACTACACTTTTGTCATATTCATCAGTTCACCTGAATCTAAAAGAACTATTATACTTGTTAAGTCTCTTATTATTGAAATATTAATCCCAAATCTTTGCCTCTATGAACATTGATCTCAATATGGTGTCTGTAACCTTGGAGTCACAAGTATAGAGGGACTAGCTCATGGTTGCAAGAAGTCCTTTTTTGAGCAGGTTTTTGGGTGATTTAGTTAACCACATGGCAGGCCACTATTTGTTTTAGAAAAGAATATATGTTTTTAAAATATTTTAAGAAAATTCTTGTCAGATCTTTAAAAACTTTGAGGTGATTAGAGAGTCTACAAATAAAACTTGTTTCTCATAAGGTTAAAAAAAAAAAAAAGGTTCAGTTAACTCCAATGTATTTTTTTTAATTCTCACCTGATTATATTTTTCCCATTGATATTTTAAAGAGGGCGGTATGGGAGAGAGACAAATAACGTGAGAGAGAGAGACATTGATTGGTTGCCTCTTGCACATTCCCCAACAGGGGCCAAGTCCCAACTGCAGGCAACTTATGTGCCTTAGTCCAGGAATCCAAACCTGTGACCCTTTGGTTGGCGGCTGATGCTCCAACCCCTAAGCCAAAACAGCCATATTTTTTTCTTTTTTAATATATTTTACTGATTTTTTAAGAGGGAGAGGGATAGAAACATCGATGAGAAACATCAACCAGCTGCCTCCTGCACACTACCTACTGGGTGTGTGCCCGCAACTATGGTACATGCTCTTTTTTTTTTTAATTTCTTTATTAAGGTATCACATATTCGTTCTCAACCCCCCATTCCAATCCCCCACTTCTCCCCACTTATGCCCTCACCCCCGTTGTCCTTGACCATTGGTTAGGCTCATATGTATGCACACAAGTCCTTTGGTTGATTTCTCCCCTTTATTCCCACCCTCCTTTTGAGGTCCAACAATCTGACCCATAACTCCTTATCTCCGGGTATGTTCTTGTCATCAGTCTAGGTACATGCTCTTGACCAGAATCGAACCTGGGATCCTTGAATCCGCAGGCCGATCCTCGATCCACTGAGCCAAACCAGCCAGGGCCATATTCTTGATGATACAAGTTCTCTAAAACCATTTGGCCATATTTTTTAAGTCTTCAAAAACTAAAATTCAAGCTACAGTGTTTCTACGAATTATACATTGTTCTTTGAACATCAGGAAGTCTCATGAACAACAGAATTAATCAGCTGAACTTAAATTGCAAGTAAATATATTTACCAACTGGAACCCTTATTACTGGAAAGCAAAAATTTAATAAATGTGATAAGGAGGTTAACATCTGGTCATGTGTAATAAGCCATAATCTTAGTAGGTTTCAGTTACCTGGTACATATTTAATTATGGGAATTGCTTTACAGCTATCCACATAAACACAGTAAAAGAAATCATTTTGATCAACATGTTTAAGACCATAGAACTATAGTTTGTGTGCCTCTCACTAAAGTTCCTAGAATAACTGTACAGAGGGGATTGCTCTCTACACAAGGCTATTTTCACATGGCAGAAGTGCTTAAGATTTTGGAATGAATAGCTGAATTACATGGCATACCCTCACCCCCTTTTGTATTTTGCTTTACAATACTCTTGTCTATTCTCAAAGAGCTGCTCTTTACGAAGTGATATAGCCCACAAATATTAATAGCAAAAAGTTCATAGAAATCTGTATATAAATGAATATATGTTCATGCCTGCCATCTACAAGTATGTTTTTTGGACCCATATCTTAATCTTCCTTTATTCATTTTATTCTCTTTTCAATATCAACTGATGTTAAAACTGACTTCATTATAGTTGGTGCACTTACTAGCACATTCACGATATAAAAATGAGAACTGACATAAAAAATGGGAGTATTTAGGGTTCCAGGTGATCAAAAGTTAACAGAGACCTAACTCAACAGTGACGGTTTATTGATTTAACAGTACACTTCTATAATGTATCAGGATAACCCATGACTTCACCATCAAGCAGACTAACAGTCTTCCCATGGCAATCATTCAGATTTATTTGTAGGAGAAAATCCAAGGGGGAGAGTATCTTTGTTTTAAATCCATGATGGCTCAGTCTAGTAATAGACAACATTTTATTCCATTGACAAGCAGCAGGATGACTTGCTTCGTATTTTCTTCTGGCCCCTTTAGTACTTACTCTTGGAATGTTCCTCTTGGCCTTAAAATGGAGCCACTTGGATCTGGCCATTCTTCGAAGCAGAGCCACACCACTTAGAAACCAATATTTTGTGTGAAGGAAAGAAATTCAAAGAGCAGAGCTTAAATGTTTCCCTTTTAAAATGTGACAGTTTACATCAATTCAGATTTCATATGTGTGAACATAATTCATAAAGCCACCCCATCACAACTATAACTACTCAGATCTAGTGATTGGTTACATTTTACACTTTGCAAAACAACGCTATCCTATTTCCTTCGGTTTAGATGCGCACTGACAGAACACTGGGGGAAGTGCATCCATGTCCTGGAATAATGAGTCTACTCTACAAACTCAGTTCTGGAATATGAAACCAATAGGGAAGTTCAGCTATGTAGAGGATTACCCAGAGTGTTATTTGATCATAATCTGCTTTTTAAAATGCCAAGAATCATTTATATGAGATTATTGCTGTCTGCCTATTAATAAAGTTCTTTACATAGGTCTGAAGATTCAGAGTGAAATCTCCATCCCCGACCCTTCAGATTATCTTCCCCTCAAAGGACTGAAATGAGCACTTAGGTAAACTGATAAGATGGCAAAGGATGCACCAAGAAACTAATGAAACTCAAAAGGGCTCTCCTCAGGCACCTACCTGTCAGCATTCTTAACACAGTGAGCAACCAGGATCTTTTAAATTAAAAAGGGATCTCAGAATTCAAGGAGACTCTTCAAACCTAAGGACAGACACATGGTATTACCTCCACCTATTACTGTACCTGGTGTTCCCAGTACAGGAAGAAAAAAAGTGACATTTCTGATGTATACAAAGTTTAAAATGAAGTTCATCAATGAAAGTAAACATGACGGGTTGCTATAATGTGTACATTTTGTTCTACACAAACAAAACAATAGACAGTGAAAGCAAAACTTCAAGGTTAAATGAGCTCAATGCACTGGTCCTTTTGATCTTAGCAAGCACCTTTGCCTTTTTTCTTTCTTTCTTTTTTTTTCATTCTTTTCTGTTTTGTAGTTTACTGGAAGATTCCTTTTGTATGTAGTAATCTCAATAGAAAAATTTTCAACCGCAAATATAAGACAATTTTTTTTTTTATCACAGCTATAGGCTGTAGCACTGATTTCTCCAGATAACAATAGAGAACAGCAAAATTGTATGCACGGTTAATTCCAGATTCTAAGAAAACTGTCCCATGAGCCTGTTGCCACAGCCATGCCATCGTCAGTTACACCCAGACAGCTAACTCGGTTGTCATGACCAGCAAGAACACCTGAAAAACAAAGCCAGTAAATAGCGATGGCACGTTTTAAACTAAAGCATATGTTTAAAAATATAGGAAGCAAACACATTTTTGTTTTGTTATGGGTGCTAATTGATTCAACCCGGGCAAAACACCTAATACTTCCAAAAAGTAATTGGCTTTGGGCAACAGAAAGCACCAAAATGCAAACTGTGAACTTCCCTATAATGTCTTAAGAAAATTACTCCTGGGAATGTTCATGTACTTTTACTCCCTCAAAAACCTCAAGAACTGCTTAGGAATTTTAAAGGGTAAGGACAAAATCCCACAAAGACGATGAGGGTATGAAAGCAGGCAATGGCTACAAAGCTAGATGGTGGGGACTGTGTTAGTGCACCCTAAAATGCTCAGTTCATAGCAAATGGCCTGGTAAGCCCAGAAACAAAATTACGCTGCAGAACCTCCCAAAGGGTCAGGTCCTAGTGAGCCCGGGCATCTATCTGTGGAACCAGGTGGCAGCAGAGCTGGGGCAAACGCAGATGCTAGAAAGTGTTCAGGAATCAGCCTTCCCCGATGTCCTGCACTGCAGAGCCAGGTGACTCCAGCGTGCACCAAGACATGGGGCTGTAGAGACTTATTTGCTGGAGAATAAAGAAGAATCTCTTAACCGGAAAAAAACAAACAAAAAAAAACAAACAGGCCCAGTTGAGATTGGTAGAACTGTGCTGAAAATGGGGCATAAGAAAAGCTGACTTGCTAATTGTTTTACCACCCAGCTTTCCTCCTGAAACCAGCCCTAAACTTGGCAACCAGTTTATCCATTCCAGGAAGGAAAGTGGAAAATCCGTCTCAGAGAACATGGGAACAATGACCATGTGTAAGAGCAGCTGGGCTGCCATTCCCTAGACCCAGGGTACCCAGAGCCTCCGACGACGGTCGGGAGCCTTTCACGTTCCCTGACAAAACCCATACGCAATGTGGACGTAGGCACTCACCTGCACGATCTCCTTTTAGTGTGTCCCACACGTTACAATTAAAGTCGTCATAACCAGCTAACAGGAGGCGCCCACTTTTTGAGAAGGCTACAGAGGTGATCCCACAGATAATGTTGTCATGAGAATACAATAGTAACTCTTGGTCTGCACGAAGGTCAAAGAGACGGCAAGTGGCATCATCGGAGCCGGTGGCAAAGGCATAGCCATTTGGAAAAAACTAGAAAGAAAAGCAATAAACATGTATTCCATGGACATGTACAAAAACCACATGAGACAGTGTAATAGCAGGCTCTGGGGTAAAACAAACTAGATTCAAATTCCAACCTGGCTTCTTACCAGTGAGTGCTGCTGGGCACTAAAGAGTCTTCAACACTTTAGGCCTTAGTTTCAGTTTTAGAGTGTGGGTTAAGATTGAATGAAATAATATATGCTGAGTACACAGCCTGTTGTTTAAGGCATAGCAACTAATTCAGTAAATATTAGTTCTGGTCCTCCATATGTCTTATTAAAATATTTAAGTGTAAATATTACTATTTAAAGAACCTACATAAGTGTACTCTTTTTTATTTTTTAATATATTATATTGTTTTTTTACTGAGAGGAAGGGAGAGGGAGAGATAGTTAGAAATATCAACCAACTGCCTCCTGCACACCCTACACTGGGGACGTGTCTGCAACCAAGATAGATGCCCTTGACCGGAACCGAACCTGGGACCCCTGAGTCCGCAGGCGGATGCTCTCCACTGACCCAAACCAGTTAGGCGCTTTTTTATTTTTTTTAATAAAATCACTCGAGGATGTGTTTTTACTGATTTTGAGAGAAAGGAAAAGGACAGGGAGCAAAATATCAATCAGCTGCCTCCTGCATGCTTCCTACCTAGCATCCAGCCCACAACCTGGGTTTATGCCCTGACTAGGAATCGAACCCACAACCTCTTGGTACACAAGATGCACCCAACCATTTGAGCCATACTGGCCAGAGCTGGGTTTTTTCTTTTTTAAATCAAACCCTTCCTATCTGGGAATTCAATGTCATAAGAGCAGATTATAAGAATTTATAAATTGTAAGAATCCTTGAAGGCAATGAGTTATGAAAATCATGCTAGAGTTCGTACTTTAAACGCACAATAAATGTCCCTTAGAAATGCTTTTCACTTACACTGACAGCATTAATATCTGACACATGTCCAGAGAAAGACTGTCTACACATTCCATCTCGAATATCCCATAACTTGGCAGAGGCATCACAAGCACCAGACACGAAAGTCCTCATGTCGGGGCTCAGAGACAGACTCATCACATCTCCAGAATGCCCGGTGAACGTGGTGGTCTGCTGGGCAGTTTCAATGTCCCATAGGGCACTGCAATGAAAAGTGAATAAAAATAATGTCCGTTATGTCTTTTTACAGTAGTTCCTACTATCGACCTCAACACCCATATCAGTGTTCTGAAATACACTTACCAATTTGTATCTCCTGAACTTGTAACGATTTGGCTGTCATCTAAAAAACGGCAGCAGGACAAGTAGCCTATAGCATAGAGAGTAACATTGTTTTCGGTTATAATTGATTAAACCCAATTAGCATATGAAATACTAATATACATATATAGTGAGAGGGGAACATCAATTTGTTGTTCCACTTATTTATGCATTCTTTGGTTGCTCCCTGCAAGTGCCTTGGTTTATCAGGACAATACTCTAACCAACTGAGCAGTTGGCCATTCAACCAATCAAAGCATAATATGCTAATAATATGCTAAGGTCGCTCAATAGCTTGCTATGCTGTGCACTGACCACTAGGGGGCAGATAGTTGACCAGTTGCTATGACATGCACTGACCACAAGGGGGTAGATGCTCTGACCAGGTTAGGTTACTGCTGAGGTCCAGCTGATCAGGACTGAACCAGATGGGCTGAACACACCCTGGAGCCCTCCTGCAGTCCCTCCCCAGCTGGCCAACCTCCCACATTTCTTCCAACTCTGTTCATGCATCAGTGGGGTTCCTTGGCCTGGCCTGAGCCCTCTTGTAATCCAGGACCCCCTGGGGGATGTTGGAGAGCCGGTTTCAGCCCAATCCTGCAGGCCAGGCCAAGGGACCCTAGTGGTACACAAATCCATGCACTGGGTCTCTAATCTTTATACTTCGTTACATAATCAAGTATAGATGCCAAAATTCTATGGATTTATATGGTTGCAGAGAATACAGAAAATAACATTTGCTTTCTTTTTATATTTTCATTACTATGTAATTTTTTTTTTGCAATAAATTTATCATCTTCACAAAAATAATACCTTTTTAAGAAAAACAGAACAATATTCAGTGAAGCTCACCTATGTGGCCCGGTAACTCTCGGCTCACTCTCACATTCCCTTCTCTGGTCTTTAAGTTATAGATAGAGCAGATGTTGTCCAATCCTCCACAAGCCACGTAATTACCAGAGGGGGCGTAAGCACAGGTCATCACCCAGGAAGACCTCAGAGGAATGGCATGCATCTGCAGAACAAATGGAATGCACAAAATCCATCACTAAGGAACGACAGTCATTCATCTTCCTGCCTATTTACAAAGAAGCGCAAATATTACGAAAAATTAAATGCATCTAAAAATTAAGGTAAAATAAAGAATGCAATGGATTGAGAAAGAGAACACTGAAAAATAAAATAGTAATGCACACTGAAATACCTATCACTTTTTTCTGTATTACAAATAATTCAATTTAACTGCTCTTTTCAGAAATTATTCTTTTAAGAGAACCAAGAACAAAGATATTTAATATATATATATATATATATATATATATATATTATTGATTTTTTACAGAGAGAAAGAGAGAGGTATAGAGAGAGAAACATTGATGAGAAAGAATCATCAATCAGCTACCTCTTGCACATCCCCCACTGGGGATGTGCCTGCAACCAAGGTACATGCCCTTGACCGGAATCAAACCTGGGACCCTTCAGTCTGCAGGCCGACGCTCTATCCACTGAGCCAAACAGGTTTTGGCAAGAACAAAGATATTTCAATGCAATATAACAACTTAAAATATTAAATGAAAACGTTAAAGATAAAAAATGTAATAAAATTCTTAAAATTTTTGCAATCCTGTGCAAAAGAGGAATTTCTTCCAACATAACATTGAGTAATATAAGTATTACTTATTAAAATGGTTCTAATTAAAATGGTTCTTCCATGAAGAGATGGTTCCTTGTCTAATCATAGGGCTCAAATTTAAACAATAGGAAGAGTTTCCACGATCTACTCATACCACTGTCTGGTGCCTTCTCACCCAACACCAATCATCAGCATGCCAGGCAGTAAAATTTACGTGTATGGGACTTGAAAGGCTAAGTGGTCCGTACAGAGAATCAACACATTGTGTGTGATTGCTACTGCGCTCTCACTTAACTTAAAATATTTTCAATACACTTTTTTTTTGTTTGTTTTAGGAAAATGTAATCGAAAGACTCATGTTTAATGTGACTTAATATAGAGGAACTGTTATAATGCAAATCTGTCTTGGCTACTTTTACATTCTCAACAGGCTGAAGATATCGTTTACTTCACAAAGTAATACTTTTTAAACTTTAATAAAAGAGTACACAGAACCTAAAGGAATTTGACCTGTGAACGTTTCCTGAAGCTTTTCCACTCCCACTGAGCACCTGTGTGTCAGGCATTCCTTCCAGGGGACACACCAGGGGGACCTGCTGGCTTGTCCGAGCCCCCAAACACACACCAATGCCTAGAGTGGACCAACGAAAAGCTTCCCCACCCACAGCTAGAAATAAGAATCTCAGGGTCACGTCACATGGGGGATGGGAGTTTGTTTAGGAAATTATTTCTATGTAAAACTGACACACACTCTATTTTAATATTCAAATATGGAATATGGAAGTCTAGTAAAACACATTGAAAAATATCCCTGCAGTTGTTCTTGGGCATGAAAATAGGGCCAAATATTAAAATAAAGCCTAAGCTTCAAGAGAGGATCTAGATTAAATAGAATACATTTATCTTAGAGAAAATTACAGTTGGAAGCAACAGAATAAAGGAAAGAACTGATGAACATCAAATCAAGTAATAGGTTATTTAAGAGAATGATTAAGAAATTCTACCTTATTTGTTGTATAGCTATCCCAAATAATTAGTTTTCCATCTTGGGAAGCACTGACTAGTAGCCTAGAGGAACAAACAAAAATAATTGGACACTTAGAGGAAAAAAGTAGGTTAGATTAATCATAAATGGCATTAATGCAGAACAGTTCAGAAAAATATAATTTCTTGAATTAAAAACTTGATACCAGAAAACATCCTTCCAACTTTAACAGAAATGTATTTGGCATGCCAAAATTTTCATTATAACATAAAAATTTAGCAAAATTTACACATTTTACTGAAAATGTCTGGTTATGATTCAAGTTTTTCATGGTGATAGCATTCTGGATTCTTATTCAAGATTCTGGTAGGTATCAGCTGACTGGTTTGTGTTTAGCGATATAAATTTAATGACAATAGAGTACATGTAAGCCTAAAAACCATATTTCATTCAACCGAAAAGTATCAATTGAAATGTGAAGGCAGTGTTATGGGTACACACGGAAAATACTTCTACCTTTGAGGGCTCCACTACCTGGTAGGTAAGATATTTACACATACAAGAAATCAAGTCAGTGAAAACTGTCAGAAGAGTAGCATAAAATAAAAGCCAAACCAAAGTAAAAGATGGAAACATAACTGCTATTTGAATTAACCAAGTAGTCTCACAAAGAGAATGCATCTTGAAAAATGCAATTTGTAGAGCTAACGATACATATGTATGTCCATCCTTTGTGAATTTAGGCAATAATTACAGCAATATCCAGGAACTTGTACATAGCAATATTCAACAATACTTGCTTATGAACTGAAATTGCAAGGTCAATATACAATAGAACTGCTTTTGGCATAGTAAACAACAGTATGAACACCCCACTGCAAAGAAAAGAAACCCTACACATTTTACCTGGATAATTTAATAATGGATATTTTTTGAGATATAAATTTATTTCCATAGTAAAGGTTTCTAAACTTTTGAAGTGTCACCGGTTATTTTTCATGAAAGCAAAGTCTCATATTGGATGCATTTTCATAAATATAGTTTGTTTGCTAACTGTAAAATTATTTATTTTAAAGGAAATGCAAATGGAGATTCTTAATGAATATAATTCTGTGGATAGTCTGGAGATAGCATGTACAAACCTTGAGTCATAGCCCCAATGCATGGCATAGATTTTAGCGAGGTGCCCCCTCAGCGTACGTCTTGTTCGCATTTGTATCCGACCCACGGAATCCATGTTTGATGTGATCTTTAGAAAGTGATATGAATGTTATTCTTTACCTTAGACATAGCTCAGAAAATAAAGTAAAAACAATTATTAGGCAAGAAATCAGGCATAAGAAGGGATAAACAATGGCGGCAGAGTAGGAGGATACTGCATGGACGTGCTCCCAGGAACAAGCTAAAATTACAACTGAAATACAGAAAGGCTTCCTGAATAATCAACGGAAAATCACAGAAGAGAACCCTGATACCCAAGGACTGAAGGTGGAGACGACACAGAGACTGGTACAAGGGGCAGAGGCATGAAAGGGCTGGCCGGCCACTCACAGACAGCAACTGAAGCCCAGAGAAATATCTCAGCTGTGAGGGGGGTGAAGGGGGGTGCCACTGAGAACTCTTGGATCTAATCTCCAGGCTGGGCTTCTCAGCACAGAGCACCAAACTGAAGAGGGTACCCACATAACCTCTAGCTATGAAAAGCAGTGGAGTGCTGTCTGCCAGGGAGGGGCAGCTAAAAGTTCAGTACCCCCTTAAAGGGACAATACACTAAGTTCCCTCTAGAGCAACCCATCTTGTGTTCCAGCAGAGGGAGAGTGAAGCAGACTGGAGCTGTGAGAGCAGAACCCAGGACTGGGGACTTGGGGGATAGAGCTCAGAAGGCAGACACCCCAAGTTTCCTGGGCTAAGTCATTCCCTCACACAGTGGAAGACATCTTTCCCACATAGACATCTGCCTCGCCTGGAGGGAAGACAGTCAATTGGAAAACATCTTGCCTTGAGGCCACGTAAGAGATTAAAAGTAATAATTAACCTCCAGGCAGAAGCAACTGCCCCATCTTGTTGAAAAAACTCTCACCACACCCGAGGATGAATGCCTGGGGGCAATTCAAGTTGGAATCCTATTAGTCTGTAAACAGAGATGGTCTCTGGAGGCTTTGAGTCTTTGCCTGATGCAATTAGCAAGAAACAGCCTTTAACACTGTCCTGCACTAGAGATTGAGAGGTGTAGAGGATCTATCTAAAACATAGTCACAAACCAAATCAGACAACCAACATGAGAAAACAAAGAAACAACCCCCAAATGAAAGAACTGGTGAATTCTTCAGAAGAGATAAATGAAGCAGAGATAAGAAATTTATCTGAAACAAAGTTCAGAGTAATGATGTTAAAAATGCTCAACAGTATGAAAAAAGATATAGTAACCAGATATGAAAAAAGAAAAGTTTGAGATCAAGAATGATATAACACAAATAAAGAACACATTTGAAGGAATACACAGCAGATTAGGAGAAGATGAGGATCAAATCAGTGAATTTGAAGAAAAAGCAAAAATATCACTCAATTAGAGAATCAAAAAGAAAAAAAAGAAAAAAAAGAAAAAAAACAGGAGGACAGCCAAAACTGGTTTGGCTCAGTGGACAGAGCATCGGTCTGTGGACTGAAAGGTCCCAGGTTCGATTCTGTTCAAGGGCATGTACCTTGGCTGCGGGCACATCCCCAGTGTGTGTAGGGGGGGGGGGGGTGTGCAAGAGGCAGCTGATTGATGATTCTTTCTCAGCGATGTTTCTAACTCTCTATCCCTCTCTCTTCCTCTCTGTCAAAATAATCAATAAAATATATTTAAAAAACACACACACACACAAAAAAAAAAAACCAAAAAAACAGGAGGACAGCTTAAGGGAGCTGTGGGACAATGAGAAACATAATATTAGAATAGAAGGTGAGCCAGAAGAGGCAGGAAAGGAGAAAGGAATAGAGAAGGTATTTGAAGATATCATGGTAGAAAACTTCCCTAACCTGATAAAGGAAAAGGTCACACAAGTTCAGGAAGCACAGAGAACCCCAAACATGAAGAACCCAAACAGACCCATGCTCAGATACATCATAATTAAAATGCCAAAAATTAAAGAAAGAGAGAGAAACTTAAGGACACCAAGAAAAAATGAAAATTATTACCTACAAAGGAGTTCCCATAAGGCTGACATCTGATTTCTCATCAGAAATTATACAGGCCAGAAGGGAATGGCATGAAGTACTCAAGGGAATGGCATGAAGTACTCAAGGAAAGCAAGTATCTAAGATCAAAATTACTATATCCAGCAGGGCTGTCATTCAAAATAGATGGTCAAATAAAGAGCTTCCCAGACACACACACAAAAAAAGGTTAAAGGAGTTTATCACCACCAAAGCTAGCATTACAAGAAAAGCTAAAGGGATTGCTGAGAAGAAAAAACAGAGAGAGAAACCTAGCCATACAGAATTAAAATGGCTATAAATAAGTACCTCTCAATAATAACCCTAAATGTAAATGAATTAATTGCTCCAATCAAAAGGTGTAGAGAGCTGAATGGACACAAAAACATGACACAACTATATGCTGACTACAAGAGACCCACCTCAAAACAAAAGACACACTCAGAATAAAAGTGAAGGGGTGGGGAAAAATTTTTTTTCATGCAAATGGAAAAGGAAAAAAAAAAGCTGGAAATAGCAATACTCATATCCAACAAAATAGACTTTAGAAACATCATGCTAAGCAAAATAACCCAGTTAGAGAAAGATAAATATCATATGATCTCACTCTCATTTGTGGAATATAATGAATAACACATAAACTGATGAACAAAAATAGAGCCAGAGGGAGAAACATATACTAGGATAGAAGTAACCTTGTTAACCTTGTTATTTGCAGATTTTTAATATTTCCTACAACTTTTGTGATATCATACTATGTTAATAGAGTTTTGGTAATATTATTATATTTAAAATCCTTTTATTCTTGAAATATTAATGTTTATTGTATGTAATATTATATATAAGATAATTTTCTTGAATAATTTGTGTTTATTGCATGTAACATTATTATATTTAAAATAGTTTTCTTGAAATTAAAAAAAAAACTAAAGAAAAGGAAATCAGGCATAAAATAAATTTAGAGGGATTGAAGGTAATTCAATATAAATAATTTCACTGAGTAATTACAGGATCAATATGTAGTTCAAGAAAAAGTATAACTGATTTAAAATTATGCTACATGCATGCCTTCTATTCTGTTTCCCCGAAAATAAGACAGTGTCTTATATTAATTTTTTCTCCCAAAGTTGCGCTAGGTCTTATTTTCAGGGGATGTCTTATCTTTCCATGCTCTAGGTCCTATTTTCGGAGGATGTCTTATCTTCGAGGAAACACGGTAGTAAGAACATCTTCTGTAGACTATTAACTGAAAAGAACAGACATACCTCCCAACTTTACAGAAAAAACAGCCCAAATAAAAATCTGATGGTAGATGATCAAAGAGTAAAACATTTATAATTTTAATTGCCTATAAGAAAGCCAGTTTTATGTTTGTAAAGCACATAAAACATTTCTTAATGAAAATTTCTAATGTTAATTAACCTAATAAAAAGCTTAATCAGAGTATATCTAAAAGAATCAAGAAGCTCCTTAAAAAGCAACAAAAGAATCTACATATTTTGTAATATTTATTTTCCACAGCCTTCTATTTTAACAAATGTGCTTTTAAAAGCATTTGTACAGCATCTGACAAATAATGAAGTGGTTTTAGAGATCTCATTTTTTCAATTAAATACTAATAGGAAAGAATCTGAATGTCATTTGCATTGGTGCAAAGCTGGCTCATGGAAATTACTAAAGTAAATAGGTGGGGACTGGGAGCTGGGGTGGGGACGAAGACTTTACCTGAACAAGTGTTGCATCATTGCATGCTTTCCTGGCATCCTGAAGAAAAGAAAGAGGATGATAAAACGTTTAGACATGGAAATCACTAGGCACAACTTAACATTTTCATTGCAAATGTGTTCTTACTGTACCACATAATCTTTATTCAAAACAACTTTCATTGGGATAAAATTCACATAACACAAAGTTAACCATTTAAGTCATCTTGAAGGTGTATAATCAAGTGATCAGTATATTCACCATGAATACTACCTAATTCCAGAACATTTCCACCACTTCAAACAGAGAAACCCTCTTCCCTCATTCCTTGGTAATCACTAATTTACTTTTCTACTTCTATGGATTTGCCTATTCTGGATATTTTATAAAAATGGAATTGTACAGCCCAAACTGGTTTGGCTCAGTGGATAGAGTATCGGCCTGCGGACTGAAAGGTGCCTGGTACGATGCCGGTCAAAGGCATGTACCTTGGTTGTGGGCACATCCCCAGTAGGGGGTGTGCAGGAGGTATCTGATCAATGTTTCTCTCTCATTGATGTTTCTAACGCTCTATCCTTCTCCCTTTCTCTCTGTAAAAAATCAATATAAGAGAAAAAGAAATGGAATCATAAAGTAGATGACCTTTTGTGTCTGGCTTCTTTCACTTAATATAATGTTTTCAAGGTTCCATAGGGTGGCACATATCAGTACTTCATTTCTTTTTATGCCCAAGGAATGGTCCATTATATGGAAACTAGAGGCCTGTTGCAAGAAGATTCCTGCAAGGATAGGTCTTCCTGTGGCCTCGCTCCCTCCCGTCTCCACTGCCTTACTCCCTCCCATCTCCGCTGCCTCACTACTCCCTTCTGCAGCGCTTGGCTTCCTTCTACGCTGTCTTCAGTCTTCAGTCCATGCCTGCTTATGCAAATTAACTGCCACATTTGTTTGGGTTAATTTGCACATTCACTCCTGATTGGCTGGTGGGCATAGCAGAGGAGCAGTCGATTTGCATGTTTTTCTTTTATTAGTGAAGATATGACATTTGTTCATCCATTAATTAATTGGTGGACATTTAAGTTATTTCAATTTTCTGGCTTTTATGCATAATAATGCATTGAACATTCACGTACAAGTTTTTGTTACCTTGAGAAACTGTCAAATTGTTCATCATAGCAGCTGCACCATTATATAGTCCCAACAGGGAGGCTCCAATGTCCTCACATCCTTACCAACACTGTTGCTGTTTTCTTTTTTTAATTTGTATTGTTACAGCCATCTTAGTGGAGGTGAAGTTGTATCTAGAGGTTTTGATTTCACCCATGATTAGAGATATTGGGCATCTTTTCATGTGGAGAATTTTTACATGTGAATACCTGCCATTTGTGTATCTTATTTGGATAACTGTTTATTCAAATCCTTTGTCCATTTTTAATACAGGGAGGGTTGTTTATTGTTGAGTTGTAGGAGTTGTAGTATTCTGAATACTAGGCCCTTATCAGGTGTATGATTTACAAACTTTCTCACGTTCTGTAGGCTGACTTTCCATTTGCTTGATACTGTCCTCTGACATACAAGTTTTTAACTTTTCATGAAGTCTATTTTTTTTTTCTTTAGTTGCTTGTGCTTTTAGTGGCATATTAAACTGTTACCTAAGCTAAGGTCACAAAGATTAACAGCTATATAACTTCTAAGAATTTTACACTTTTAGCTGTGATATTTGGGTACCATTTGGGTTTTTTTTTTGGTTTTTTTTTAATATATTTTATTGGTTTTGTACAGAGAGGAAGGGGGAGAGAGAGAGAGCTAGAAACATTGATGAGAGTCATCGATCAGCTGCCTCCTGCACACCTCCCACTGGGGATGTGCCTGCAACCAAGGTACATGCCCTTGACCGGAATCGAACCCGGGACCTTTCAGTCCCCAAGCCGACGCTCTATCCATTGAGCCAAACCGGTTTCGGCTTGAGTTTATTTTTTTTTACACGATGTGATGTAGGAGTCCAAATTCACTCTTGGGTGTGTGGATAACCTGTTGTACTAGCATCATTTTTAAAAGGGATTATTCTTTCCCTATTGAATGGTCTTGTTACCCTTCTTGAAAAACCATATATCTTTGGCTAATTGACTTACTTATGGACTCCCTATTGTATTTCATTGTGCAAATGTATACTGAGTTTATGACTAAGAGATTTTTAATTGTATTCCCTGAGTAACAATGAACTAGGTTGATTTAATAAGGTCACAGTATACACAGTTATATTTGTTACTAAGCTGCAGCAAAAGCATGAGATCTGAGTTGCCCTTCTGTTTATTCTGGCATCTAGAAGTTGAGGTGATAGGAATGATATTTATAGTATAACCCAGGTCATTTCAGAAATGTTTTTAAACTACATAGCACTTCTATGGAAATGCTTTCCAATACTCTGGATACAGATGCTATTAGAAATAAAATATTTTAGATTCAATATGAGAAAAAAGACATGGCATTTCAGGAAAAACAATGTTTATATAATCACCAAAGTTTATATTAAGTTGCACAACTATATATTTATATTAATAGCATTAATTAATAGCATTAATTAATGCTTATGCCTAAGCATTATAGGGAAGACTTTTGGAGATCTTAAACTTTTACACAAACTGAAGGGAATTATCAAAAGAAAGATAACGAAACAGAAATCAATATAACAAAATAAGGAAAGAACATATATAATAAGCAAAAAAAAACATTTTAAATCAAGTGTAATAATAAATTTAGAGATTTCATATACATGGGAAAATCAGAAGTGCAATTAATTCTTCCTACTAGACTTGAAACTTTTCCCCCCTCAAGTGTTAGGGTAGTGTCCTTTTCAACTCTGTTTTTCCCTACAGCGCTTAGCGTGCTCGAGTGAAGAGGAAGAACACAGTATTTGTTGAATAAATGTGCCAGGTGGACGTGTTCCACAGCCGAGGAGAAAAAGGCCTGCCTCCACTTGCAGCAAAGACTAGATGGAATGCATAATCTTTCTGGCTGCCCTTCCAACCTATTTATAAACCATTAGAATATTTCCATGTCAGGGTGTTATAAGTAGTTATACAAACATACGATTTGATTCTCTCATTCTTAGTCAAATTGTGGGTTAAGAAAACCTCATTTGGCAAGGAATGACTTAGCCCACTTTCCTGCAATGAAAAGAATTTCCAGAAATGACAGTGATGGCCTGAACCATGTTCCAAAAATGGTGGACTTGCAGACTAAATTCTAAAAAAAGGACTCCCTGATTTTAAGCTTTATGAAATGAACTATGTCATTTAGGTCATCTTCTTAATCCAGTCAGTCAATTAAGAAATCAGTTGCCACCCTGGCAGGTTTGCTCTGTGGTTAGAGTGTCGGTCCACAAACCAAAAGGTTATGGGTTCATTCCCAGTCAAGGGCACAAAACTGGGTTGCAGGTTTGATCCCTAGCCCTAGTATGGGCTCATGTAGGAAGCAACCAATTGATGTGTCTCTCTCACACTGATGTTTGTTTGTTTTCCTCTCTCTCTTTCTCCCCTCTCCCTCCCTCCCTTTCACTCTCTCTTAAAACCAGTGAGGATTAAATAAGATAAAATAAATCTGTTGCCCTGGCCAGTGTTTCTCAGTGGTTAGAGTGTTGGCCTAAGCACCCAAGGGTCGCGAGTTCAATTCCCAGTCAAGGGCATGTAACTGAGTTGCAGGTTTGATCCTCAGTCCTGGTTGGATGCTTGGCCATGTGCTTGGCCAGTCATTCCAGACAAGAATGGCATAAGAAAATTACAAGTCAATATCCATGGATGAACATAGATGCAAAAAATCTCAACAAAATATCAGCAAATGGAATTCAATAATACATTAAAAGGATCATACAGCATGATCAAGTGGGATTTATTCCAAAGATGCAAGTATGGTTCAATATCTACAAATCAATGTGATACACCACATTAACAAAATGAAAAATAAAAATCATATAATCATCTCAATAGACTCAGAAAAAGCATTTGACAAAACCCAACATCCATATATAGTAAAAAAAAAAAAAATCTCTCAACAAAGTAGGCACAGAGGGAACATACCTCATAATATATATGACAAGCCCACAGTTAACATCATACTCACTGGTGAAAAGCTGAAAGCTTTTCCTCTACGATCAGAAACTAAACAAGAATGCTCATTCTCTCACCACTTTTATTCAACACAGTACTAGAAGTCCTTGCAAAAGCAATGAGGCAAAAAAAAAAAAGAGGGGGTGTGGAGGAGGAGGAGGAGGAGGAGGAGGAGGAGGAGTAAAAGGCCTGGCCAGCATGGCTCATTGGTTGAGAGTCAACCTATGAACCAGGAGGTCACAATTTGATTCCCCATCAGGCCACATGTCTGGGTTGCAGGTTTGATCCACAGTTGGGAGCCTGCAGGAGGCAACTGATTAATTATTCTCTTTCCTCATTGATGTCTCTATCTCTCTCTCCCTCTCCCTTTCTATCTAAAATAAATGTGGGGTGGGGGAAGGGAGGAAGCAAAAAAGTCACTATTTGTAGATGACACAGTATGATATATAGAAAGTCCTAAAGACTCACACATAACACACACACAAAAAACAAAAAACAAAAAAAAACTTAGAATAAATGGATTCAATAAAGCTGTAGAATTCAAAATCAATATACAGAAATTTGTTGTATATCTATATACTAATAAAGAACTATCAAAAATAGAAATTAAGAAAACAATCCCATTTACAATTGCATCAAAAAATTAAAAAGCTAGGAATAAATTTAAACAAGGAGGTAAAAGATAAAACACTAAAAAATATAAAATATTGATAAGTGAAGATGCAATTAAATGAAAAGATATTTTATGCTCATGGGTTAGAAGACCTAATATTATTTAAATGTCCATATTACCCAAAGCAATCTACAGATTCACTGCAATCACCATAAAAGCCTATGACATTTTTCAACAAAATGTATCCTTCAATTGTGTTCAAGATGGAGCTTGTATTTGTTTCTTATGCTCTTTGGGTTTTGAGTTGATTTCCAAGAGTAAAAGATGACACGTCTTTATTATGCCACTAATAATTTTAAAAAATATATTTTATTGATTTTTCACAGAGGGGAAGGGAGAGGGAGAGTTAGAAACATCAATGAGAGAGAAACATTGATCAGCTGCCTCCTGCACACCCCCAACTGGGGATATGCCCACAAACAAGGTACACGCCCTTGTCCGGAATCGAACCCAGACCCTTGAGTCCACAGGCCAACGCTCTACCCACTGAGCCAAACCAGCTAGGGCCCATTAATAATTTTTAATGTTTTCTGCAATGTAATGTTTTACAGATGAATCATTTTTAGTATATTACAATGTGATAATCTGCCTCATCATATTGCACCAAAAAAAAAAAAAGATCAAACTATGACTCCAGGTTTATGACTAAGAAGAGAATTGTGCTTGTCTTTCAGGAGGGATTACATATATGATATTCACTTCTTTGGGACACAGAGGCCATTAGTCCAACATATGTATTTGTTAGGAATGATTTTTGGAGAGTTCTCTAGAGATATGATAAAAATAAACTGGCCGAAACTGGTTTTGCTCAGTGGATAGAGCATCGGCCTGCGGACTGAAAGGTCCCAGGTTCGATTCTGGTCAAAGGCATGTACCTTGGTTGCGGGCACATCCCCAGTAGGGGGTGTGCAAGAGGCAGCTGGTTGATGTTTCTTTCACATCGATGTTTCTGGCTTTCTATCCCTGTCTCTTCCTCTCTGTAAAAACTCAATAAAATATATATTTTTTAAAAATTGACCATTTCTAGTCTCATAAATTATTTAACATCTCTAGACTGATCACCTAATGAACAAATCTGGTTCATTTCTGGTATGAGATAAAAATGTTAAAAATGTTTTTGAGAAAATGAAAACGATTGCTCTTACCTGGATCTGATTCCGTAGTTGTTCGGCTTCCTGCCTCAACTGTTCCAGTTCACTCATTTTTTAAAATTTTTTACTTCAAAATTAACAACACAAAGCAACTAGAAAAAAAATAGAGAGAGACGAATTCAGTTCTCCATTTACATGTTAATGTACTTCAAAAACATTGACATTTGGCTTCTTTTTATTCCTTCTGAAACACCAACAAGATAGTCAATTATTACCAGAGTGTAAAACTGCTTTAGTAAATATAGATCGAGATTATTTATAAAGGGTATTATGGTGGAACGTGATTAGAGGATGGAAGCGAAATCTTGAGTTGTAGTTTTCCACACTAAATTATAGAGAATTAGTACTATTAATAGAACGGAGTCTCGTGAGAAACACTTCACAATGGGGCACAAACTGACATACCCACTTAGATGTCTCATAGACACCTCCAATTTACTACTTCAAAACTAACCCACCCTACCCTCAAGTCTCCCCTATCTCAGTAGGTGGTAATCCCATTCTTGCAATTGTTCAAGCCAAAGACCTGGGAGTCATCCTTAACATCTGTTCCCTCACACCCTACACGTAAACCATCAGCAAAGCATGCCAGTCAGTCCTTCAAAAAAGTATCCAGGATTTGACAAACCCTGGTTATGTCCACTTGGAGCACCTGTCCACGCCATCATCCTCTCTCACCTGGTCTCCTTTCTACTGCTTTCAACCACTCTCCAACCTATTCTACATTTAGCAACTAGTGATCCTTTCAAAGCACAAGTCATTCTTCTGCTTCAAATCCTGCCACAGTTTTCCACTACACTCAGAAGAGAGACTTACTCATTATTTTGAATTAGAGTCCTACTCAACTCTTACACACCCCCCTCTGACCTTATCCATCACTTTCTCTCGCTCTGATTCGGCCACTCAAAAGCTTTCTTGATGCTCCTGGAACACGCTAAGCACCTCTGGCCTCGGTGTCCTGACACTGGCTCTTCCCTCTGCCGGAAATGCTCTGACGCTCCCCCTCCCCCAGTCCCAGGTCCTTTACTTCTGCTTCCATGTTTCCTCTCGGGGGGCCTTCCCTGTTAGCACTTATGCACCCACCTAGCCCCCTCACTCTCTCTCAATCAGGTTACCAAAGACTCAACACCATTATCATGTATCTGCTTATTTGTTGTCTGCTTCCTTCTAACAGAATACTATAAGCTCCTTAATGCAGAGACTTCGTTTGCTTTGTTCTCTGCTGTATCACTACCACCTATGACACTTTCTTCTTCAGGAAATAAGCTAACCTGAAATCGCTTAAGAAATAAAGGGAACTTTGTTCTAAAGATTTAGGATGAATCACAGAACCAAAATGCATGACTCTTGCCACCTCAGGAAGAGAGGCTAAAAAACTAGTAGTATTCACTTTCTAACTGTCCTGCCTTTCTCTTCAGATCTTTGTTTTTTCCTCTTTGTACAGAATAACTTTCTCTGCTTCTCTGAGCACAAGACTCAGACTCTATCTGCTCAGGGCATGATTAGCACCCAAATTCCAGTAAGAATTTTTCCCCCAGTATCCATCCTTCATTCACTTCAACTCTGAAGTGGTATTGAAATTGCTGAGTTAAACAATTTAAAACTAATAATGTAACAGAAACTAGTAACTGCTAGTTTAAAATGCTCTTTGAATTACCGTAACTTCTTGACTAAGTTCTTTTTTTTACTTAAATGTTTGATTCCTTTAACACAGTTTAGGTAACTATCATATAGTGAGAGCATGTAAGTGGAGTAGAAAGCAGCATATCGGTTATATTTTAAAAGGCAGCTGTGCCAGTTACAAATATCAAAAACACCAATGAGCCACTGTGTCCAAGCCAATTTATTAAACAAAATGGGAAATACAGTTGCATAATTCAAACTGCCTTCTCCCTCCACTTCTTCAAATGTCCACAGAATTTTTAATAAAGCAAGGCATTATGTAGCTTGTACAATTATACTGCTGTGTTAGTGAACAGCTATTTTAATCATACGAGACAGAGAAATACAAGTAGCTTAGCTACTAATAATTTTCATTCTGATCATGAAAGCATATAAAATGAAAATATAATTTCTACACTTCCTAAAATTCAAAAGACCCTAACCCCATAATGAATTAGGTAAGATATTTGAAAAGGAATTTAAATCCACTCTTGCCTACTCATCCCAAGTATTCTGTATACCGATATTCCCATGTGGCTTTCTGTCTCAAGAAGTCAGCAAAAACTTACAGCGGCATGGGTGAATGGATGAAAGTGAAAAATATAAGTTAAAGATGCTTAACCTGTTAACCGAGCGGGACCTATAAATACATCAAACGTAAACAATATCGGGAACGGGTAGGACGTATGAATACGTCCTTAAAATATATGTTGCGCCCCGAGAGGGACGGTATATAATTTTTGTAATCTTTTTTTAAAATATTTTATTAATTTTTTACAGAGAGGAAGGAAAGGGGAGGGATAGAGAGTTAGAAATATCGATGAGATGAGAGAGAAACATCTATCAGCTGCCTCTTGCACACCCCCCACTGGGGATGTGCCTGCAACCAAGGTACATGCCCTTGACCAGAATCAAACCTGGGACCTTTCAGTCTGCAGACCGACATTCTACCACTGAGCCAAACCGGTTTCAGCTATTTTTTGTAATCTTTATCATTGTTTGTAAAATTTATAATTTTTTATTCGACGTGTCCATTTTTTCTATTTTTTTGTAATTTTTCTTTTTTGTGCTTTATATATATAAATAAACGAAAAAATATATATATATTTCATTTATTTTCATTAAATATAAATTTAAAAAAATAATATGAAATTACGCCCTCCGGGCGTGACGTACTGACACGTCCTAGTAAAAGAGTACGCGCCCGTTACAGGTTGCGTCATTAAAAAGGGAACTCCCCGGTTAACATAGCATAGGCATTAAGTTTTGGTTGTTTATTTTGCTACCGAATTTCTCATTACATTGAATTTTTTTTTTTCTTGTGTAGGGTGTTAGATCTTTTTTTTTTTTTAATCCCCATGCAAGAGTATTTTTCCATTGATTTTTAGAGAGAGAAACAGAGACAGAAAAATATTGATGTGAAAGAAATGCCCCAACCAGGGTCTGGGCTGGGGAGGCGCCTGCAACCGAGGTATGTGCTCTTGACCAGAATCAAATCCGAGACCCTTTGGCCTGCAAGTCCAATGCTCTATCCACTGAGACAAACCGGCTTCGGCTACTCCGAGTATTTTTAAGTGCCCCAGAAATAAACCAATTCAACGTCTTGTAAACCGAAGGCAACTTGTGCTGTCCGTGTTTCAGGAAACAAGGGCTGCTCTCAGGGTCAGGCTTGTTTCCCTTTACCTGACTGGTATTTTCTGGCAGAGTTCGTTCTTTCACCAAATGATGTCTGAATTTCTTTTCTTTCTTCCTTTCTTTCTTTCTTTCTTTCTTTCTTTCTTTCTTTCTTTCTTTCTTTCTTTTTAATATATTTTATTGATTTTTCAAAGAGAGGAAGAGAGAGGGATAGAGAGTTAGAAACATCGATGAGAGAGAATCACCGATCAGCTGCCTCTTGCACACTCCCTACTGGAGATGTGCCCGCAACCAAGGTGCATGCCCCTGACCGGAATCGAAACTGGGACCCTTCAGTCCGCAGGCCAACGCTCTATCCACTGAGTCAAATCGGTCCCGGCTGATGACTGAATTTCTATCACGCGCCAAGAATCGGGACTAAGCTTGAATAAGACACAGTCCCCGCTCTCCAGCACTTGGCAGTCTAAGAGGAAAGGCAGATGTGTGAGCACACACTCTCACAGGTTCACAACACATTCCCCTATGCCCTGGGGCCAGATGCGTTTCAGAATTTGGAAGTTTCTAGATTTTTTTTTAAAAGTGCATTCATTATATATCACATTATACCCCGAAGAGACCTGGGGAAGGGTGTCACATAATCAGGAAGGAGTGCTCCTGCAGCAAAATGTGAACACATTCATAATGGGGTTGAGGGGGGGGGAGGTGGGGAGATCAACTAGCAATTGTCCTATGAGATCAGGTTAGGCTGTGGCACCAAATGAATTCAAATCACATAAGCTTTTTAAAAAAATAGGTTTTTATTTATTATATTTTTAGAGAGAGAAGCAGGGAAAGAGACAGAGCAACAGGAACATCAATGATATTAGAGAGTCATTGACTGGCTGCCTCCTACATGCCCCCTACTGGAGATGTGCCCACAAACCGGGCATGTGCCCTGACTGGGAATTGAAACTGTGACCTCCTGGTTCATAGGTCAACACTCAACCACTGAGCCACAGCAGCTGGGCTACATGGAAGCTTTAAATTAGGGGTATCGAACTCAATCAGAGAAGGGGCCAAAATCTAAAATCCAGCCTAAATCGCGGGCCGAATGGTTTACTGAACAGTCATAAACTGTCATTGTGATGGAAACGCAGCGGAGTGCAGTGATGACAGCGCGGTGCGGGCCACATTGCAAGGCCTGGCGGGACGGATTTGGCCCGCGGGCCTCGTGTTTGACACATGTGCTTTAAATGAAAAGATCTAGCTTTTATCTAGGGTTTTTTCCTGCATTATTCCTGTTATTTTTATCTATAGGCCTAAAGTACAAAAAAAAAAAAAATGAGCACTATCCTGACCTACCGTCAGTCCAGGTCATCATGTGACCCACTCTTCCATTCAACAAACATGTATTTAACACCTACCCACAACAGGCACAGGAATAGACCCACTCCACTCAGAAAAGCAGCTGAGTAATAATCATTACACCAAGATGCAAGTGCAACAATGAGCACATGCTAAAGGTTTATGTCGTCAAAAACCAAATGTTTCATGAGAACGTAGCTGAACTCAATATACTGAAGGTTTCCCTAAAACTTTATGCAATACATTTTGAAACCACTGTTGGTGTATCTGCTGAAACCATTTTAGTATGCTTATATTTTTAGCTGTACTACCTCAAAGTAACAAGTTCTATCAATTCACTCTCAGCTATGTCAAACAGCATAGTTGACAGTGAATTTATTTACCTTTTATTTTGCCATAAAACTACCTTCTCTAAGTCAAGACACCTCTAGTTTTAGGATTTCTAAGACTT